CATCCACGTGTCTACATCCACGTCCGCATCCTCAGGCCTCACCCCACAGCTGCTGAATAAGACTCTGTACTTTATTCACAGCCCCTTGGTCATTTGACATTGATATTTGAAAAGGCACCAGGTCATTTAAAAGGGTATATCAATGGAGTGACTAAATGGCTTTTTATTTATTTCATCATTCATCCTGCATTTTCTGAGAGTGTGCACTGGCCCCAACCTCATGCCAAGTGGTGGGGATATCAAGATAAACTACGAGTGGGCTCTGCTTGTGAGAAGCTTCGGTTCTAACTAGGAGACTGTGCCCATAAGCCCATAAATGCAGTCTAGTTTAGAGACGCCGTGATAGAACTGTGTAAGGAGGCCCCAAAGGGGCTGCTATCTAAATTCCTGGGAAGGTGTGCATATTCACATGGATGTTTGGATGAAGAAGAAATATATGTATATTGTGAAGTCAGACTTTAGTTGATGATCTGAGCTTAATTACTCCCTCGTGGTTTTCCACTACCATCATACATAAGCAGTACCTTATCACCTTCTTTGCTGGTAAAGTCTTGTCACCTTTTCACTCTGTCTGGGGCACATACTTCACGAAGGGATAGCAGGCTCTGTATTCAGGTGCATTTTCTTTTTTCTTTTTAAATATTTTAGAGAGAGGGGAAGGGAAGGAGAAAGAGTGGGAGAGAAACATCAATGTATGGTTCCCTCTCGTGAGTCCCCTGCTGGGAACTGGCCTGCAACCCAGGCATGTGCCCTGACTGGGAATCGAACTGCGATACTCTGGTTCGCAGGCCCGCACTCAATCCACTGAGCTACACCAGCCAGGGCCAGGTGCCTTTTCTATATGCTCCATCCCATGTTGCTGTTCACCTGCCTCCAGGCAGCCACATTGCTTTTCAGTGTCCCTGCCTTTTAACCTGTAGACTAGTGAGGGCAGCTTGAAAAAATATGCATAGCTGGCTGGGTTCTTAGCGGTTTTTCTTCACTCCCCTTTCAATTTAGGGCTATACATAACGGACTATTTTCTGAAGTTTAATTGGCATAAAGTAGCATTTGGGAATCAGGGATATGATGCTTTATTTGCCTACCTTATCCTTTAACTGCCTCATGGCGCTACCTCTGGAACAAAGAAAAAAACTTTGAACTTGAGTTGAATGATGTGGGATGATTTGGAGGAAATTAGTCAAGATCCTTTCCAGTTTCTCGCCACGGTGGAGGGAAGGTCCACTTTCAGCTCTGTATTTCACCAGCTTATAATTTTGAGTGAACCATTGTACCTGGTAATTGATGAATAAAAGTGTTTTGCATGTGGTAGGCTTCGAGTGGTGAGGGAAAGGGTAAAGAGGAAGCCAGGTTTGTAGACATCTGTCTGTGACTACTTTGCTTCTTCTAAAAGCAAATGTTTCTGTCTTAGATTTCATGTGTCACTTCCTTGCCCCAGTCTCCTGATGCGGTGTTCCTTTTTTCCTTGCCTGCTTATTTGTTCAAAGCTCCTGTACCACACAGGGCTGGGAGTTCCAGTTGGGTTTCCCCAGCCTGCAGAGAGGGCAGGGTGTGCACTAATGGGAAGCTCTACAGCTTTGTCGTGGTTCATTGGAAGGTCCTGCTGCTGATTCTGTGCAGCTGCTTTTCTCTAGGATTACTACCTAAGCATGTAAGATAGATGTTCTTTGATTGTTTAAAATATATAATGGAAATGTCTTTCTTTGCCACACAGACATACATGTGCACATATGGACAGACAAAGACCCACACGCTCTGTTCTTTCCACTTTACTGTCTTCTTTCAACAGGGAAAGTTCATCTTCTCTCTTAAGGTGAACTTACTCCTACAGTAACTTAGAGGTATGTTCTTTTGTTTACATGCCTATTAAAGTTGCTGAGTGACAGAATTCTCATAATAGTTCTTAGTCTGATTAAAGATAGTTATTAAGCATTTTTTATTCTAACTATCTAGTCTAATTTTGCTTTCTACCAAAGACCCATTGTCTATTCTACAACATATCTTTATTATTTATATATCTGTGTTCAAGACATTTACCATTTGTCCACATTTTAAAGTGCAGGCTCCATTCTGAATAATGCAATAAGAAGCCTGTGATACTGAGCTTGAAGAGCTGAACACTTTGGTGTAACTTTGTAACTGATCAAAGTAAGGCAGATGATTATTATGAGGTTATCATTAGGGCTTTTAAAAAATCTGCTTAATTTCAGCCTTGGCTGGTGTGGCTCAGTGGATTGAGCGCAGACCTGCTAACCAAAGAGTCGCTGGTTCGATTTCCAGTCAAGGCACATGTCTGGGTTGCAGGCCAGGTCCCCAGTAGGGGGTGCACTAGAGGCAACCACACATTGAAGTTTCTCTCCTTCACTTTCTCCCACCCTTCCCCTCTGTCTAAAAATATATAAATCTTTAAAAAAAATAAAATAAAAATATGCCTAATTTTTCCTAGGATAGTTTAGATTTATGTTATTTTCAAATAATTTCTTTTTTTTTTATTTTTATTTTTTTGTGGGCCGCTGTTTCTGCCTTTATAGTATGACCTCCAAGATTCATTCAGGTCTGATCCTATTTGATGCTGACAATTCTCATAGCATAATACAATCTGTTGAAGTAGAAGAGGATGCTCAGAAATTTTCTGTTAAGTGTGTAGTATGAAGTAGACATAGGTCTGAATAGGACATTTGAACCTGAAAATTATGCTTGAGCTAGAATTTGGTAGTCAAGGCTCCATCAGCCTTGATATATTTTGCTGATTACTTAAGATATCATTGTGTGCATTCTTCACATATGTTATGACTTTTACAAGACATAAAGGGACTTGGTGACAATTCCTTGTATTTAACAGTTATTATAATTTTATTTTTTAGTGCAGTGTTTAGCCAAATGAAGGCCAAAGGAGTTTCCCAGTCCTGGCTATACATTAGAATTAGCTGAGTTTAAGAGTAATCCTGGCCTCTGACTCTTCCTCCTCACTGCCTTTGCCCATCCCCAAGATCCTAATTGAATTGGTGTGAGATGGAGTTTTGGCATCAGTGTCTTTAGAAAATCTTCCTTGGTGACTCTAGTTTGTAGGCAATGTTTGCAACTACTGGGTGGAGTTAATAAAAGTTTTTGAGACTTATAACCCTAATAGAAATATGGGCAGGGTATGCCTTGGGATGAGTTCACTCAGAAGGGTAAGAGAAGTAGAAATGTTTCTTTATGACACAAGTCATCGAACCTTACTAATCCTATGGGGTCTAAGGTAGGAATAATAATGTGATATTTTGCTTAATGCAGGGTTTTTTGTAGTGGTCCCAAGACCAAAAGAATCAGCATCACCTGGAAATTTATTAGAAATGCAAATTATTGAACCCTACCCCACATCTACTGAATCAGAAAGTCTGGGGGTGGGATCCAGCAATCTATGCTTGAACAAGAGCTTCCAGAGATCCTGATGAATTCCAAAGTTTGAGAACCATGTAGATGGTTTTGCAGGAGCAAGAGGCAGTGCATGAAAATCTTAGCACAGCGCCTGGTACATTGTGAGAGTTCAAAAAGAGTGCTCTAAAGGTAGTGTTTGACTGCTTGGTAGTCTGAATGTGGTAGGGAAACAGACATAACTGTGAGCTACTCCCCCAGCTCTGAATTGTTTTTCATAAAGCACATGGAGCTCATGTGAACATCCGAAAGGGGTAGCAGACCAACCAGTTCAAGTCATCCTCCTTCCACTGCTCAATTTTGACCATCCTTTTTCTGAAGACTTAAGTTGCGATGCTTTGGTATGGTCCAAAAGCAGGTCGCTGAGTGATAGAGTCTGCTGCCCTACCACTATATAAATGTTGAACAGCTGAAATGCAAGGAAAAGCTACTTATACATAAATAGAGAAGAGAATTTTCCCAACATATGTAAATTATTATTTTTAACAGGAAAAGGACAAATGACAAGTTTTAAATAAATGGGGCTTTCTTTTCCTAGTAGGATTTCTTGTAGAATATTTTTAAAAGATTCTGTGTCATGAGCCCATAGAGCTCTTGGATATATGTTGATACCTCAGGTCTGAGAGCTCAGGCACGTTCTTCAACAACTGTAACTTCATTGTGCTGTTCTTGTTGGTCCGCAGTGCTGGGCTTTCCTAGTGTCCTAAAGCCTCATTACTCTCTGCTTGGATTGCATGTAGATTTCCAAGTCGATGCTTCTCATTCCAGTTTTTCATAATCTGCCCCACGTGCACTTTTCGATTAGTCTTTAGAAAATCATATTGTAACCACATGTTCTTTTCTCAGAAATCCTTGATGGATCCTCACTGCACACCTAGAATTCAAGCTACTTGCTAGTTTTACAACACACTTAAAAACTTATTTTCTCACCGGTCTATTTTATAAGCTATGGTTTATTTTGTTTTTCTATATTTATGCTATGTTGTCACTTGCTCTTTATTCCTTGGGCTCTTTTTTAAAAAAAAATCTCTGTGCCTTTATTCTTTTCTCGTTTTGCCTAGAGTGGACTTACTCTCTACATCATAATGATCAGGGACAATTTAAATGCTCAGGAAAGCCTTCCTTGTTTCTCTACCTGGGCATAAGCTTTTCTTTATCTTAGCTTCCGGTTTGTTTGTACATCTTTATACATTGCCTCTTGTATTACCCTTACTGTGTACTCATTTTTTGCCTCCTCTACTTGACTGAAGATTTATTGAGGATAAGGACCAAGTCTCACATACTTCAGTAATCCACCACCCCAACCGTCTTCCCTGTTTTGGCTAAATGTACCTGACCTCTATAGACTAGCTTTTATGCCACTTTGAATGATCAAAACTGGCTCAATCTTTAATCAATCTTCAGAAAGTTAAGGCTACTGAGTAAAGTGAGGAGAAGAAAGATAGGGAATAATTGTCATGCAAGGCAAAAATTATGTGTCAACACCAATTACGAAGCTGCAGAATGCCAGCCAATATGTGTTTTGAAGAGTACTTATACATTTGCATCCGTAGTAATTAGATGTGTATGTGTCCTTTGCATAGGTGACTTTCTTCCACCCCCACCCCCACCCCTGGATGATCCCGGTGCTCTTCCGTCTGGCTCTGGAAACTTCCCTCCTCCACCACCACTTGACGAAGGTGCTTTCAGGGCACAGGTAAGATCTGTGGTTGAAGTCATATTTGTAAGCCCTGCTAGGAAGCTCATGACATCAATGATACTTTCTGTGGTGGATAAACATTTATCCAGAGCCTACAGAGAGCTTTACAACTCACAGAATGCTAAGTCACCTTAAGGCAAAATGCCCAACTCAAAGCTTTTCAGAGTTCTGCCAGCTTGTACTCCAAAGCCTCAGAATCCTTTCCTCTGCTAGTTTTGTTTCAAACTGAAAGCCATTTTTTAGAAATGCCATTTGAGAAGTTCACATGTTCTTGTTATCCTGGAGCACACAGCCATACTTTTCTTAATTTTTTCTCTTTCCACAGACATGGCATTCTACATGAGAGTGGTTGATATTTTAAGTCTCTGTTTGGTCACAGTGGGTCCTAACTGGTCAGCAGCATCTTTCTAGCCAAAACAGCAGGAAACATCTTTCGGAGTTTCTCTTCTGAGTGAGGTTAGGGATGCACATTACAGTCTGTGCTGATTATATACAAGTGTCGTGCTCCAGAGAGGGGTGATGGCAAAGCACTGGGCTGGAGTCAGAAGCACCATGAGAAGTGATTCTCAGCCTGTGACCGTGGAGGGGCTCTGTGACCACCAGCCACCATGTAGGCAGCCAAATGATATTCATGTCAGACAGGAAACCTAAATAACAAAATCAATTACTGTTATTTCTTAAAGGTCATTATGTTACTCTAGGTAGCATGAAGAAAAAATGCAGTTCTTATCTTTTAGAAAAATATTAGAAATATTTGAGAAGGGAAATGATGTTTAGTATTTGTTTCAAAACAGTAAGAGTGGGGCACTAGTGAGAATACAGGTGAAAAAGATTAGTTATGAGTTGCTAAGTATTGGGGGCTGAGAGTTTATTCTATCCTTTGGTTTCCCTTTGTATGTTTAAATTTACCCATACTAAGTTTTAAAGAGGAAACACCTTAGGAAATAACCCCTTAAATAGTTCCATTTATTGTTTGTCTTTCTTTCCCCTACATTTTGGGTTTTGGGGAAGCAGAGGAAGAAGTGATTCATTCATTTAACAGATACTCTGTGCTCCTGTGTGAGCACCTTTAGAACACCATGGATTCGACAGCAAAAGGACACACAGGGTTCTGCTGTCATGACGCTTTATTTTAGTAGAACCAGTAGAGGTAAATAAAATGTATACAATGTAAAAAGTACAGTAGCATGGGATCAGGGCCAGAGGCTGAGGAAAGAGGAAGGGGTATAGCCCACATGGGGTACCCCTTGAGCACACACATGGTCAAGAAGACCTCCCTGATAAGCTGACCCCTACACAAAGACTGGGGGCCGGAGAGAGGAGAAAGGGCCACGTGCATTTCTTGGGAGTATATTTTTATATGGCAGATCTTAGGAAATAGATGAAGCTTGTTTTTTAATTGATCAGGTGAAATTATTAAGTTCCAATTATAACCAGTAAGTTCCAATTCAGTTTGGAGGCTAGGTCTTATAAAGGTGCTTACACATTTTCTGTCTTCTCACAGATGTCACAGACTCCCTCCGTTTTGTCTTGTGTAGGCTAGCAAAACAGATCAGATGCCAGTAATGGACAGGAGTCTTACAAAGTTTGTATTTATTTTATGCACTAGAGAGATCCCTTGTTAATAAAAACAGTTATGATCAATTTTTCTTATTTTTAGTCATTTTTTATTCAAAGAAAAAGAAAACCTTTCAAGTTTGCCTTTTGTATACTTTTGCTCTTTCATAGTGTTGGTTCTTTGCATATTTAGTTTATTCAGTTAAAAGCTTCACTTAGTCAATCTTTTCTCTTGGATCCTTATGGAAACTATTTTGTTGTGTTTAAAATCTTTATTTCTAAAAAGTTTCTTTGACTTTGTGACAACAGACTTGTGTTTGAATAGTTCAGCAGCTTATTCTAGTTTTATTATTTTGAGCCAGTCAGAATAAGTCCCAGTTTCTTCATAATTAAAAATAAAGTAACTATACCAACATCTAATAATTAAATGAAATACAGATGGATTTAAGACTGTTAAACTATAATGGCTGTGTAGATTTTTTGATGTTATAATTATTACTGGATAAAAAATAACATCAGCAAGAATAATAATAAGACTTTGCCAAAGTGTTTCATTTAGGGAAATTCAGACATGGGGCTTTTCTAAAATTACGAAAAGTCTTATTCTGTACGGGCCCTGTCTCGGTAACTGTTCTGAAACCACGACTTTGTTTTTGAAAAAGAAGGAAATAAACAAAAAGCCTGTTGCCATGTTGGCTTATGTTCTCTGCAAAACAGAAGGAAGAAGGATAAAAAATAAAATAGAGTTTGCCAAGTGGAAAAGGACAAATCTGGGAGGGAGAGGCCTGGCATTCTTGATTATACGGAAGGCTGTAGGCGAGTTCAAAAGAGAACGGCAGGCCCCTCCCTGGTGTGGGGGTGACGCGATGTGATACGATGGCTTGGCCCTGCTCTGGCTGTATCCGCATCACCTTTTGGATGGGAGCTATGATGTATCTCAAGGTAATCTGCTCACTGGAGAAATTTTTATAATTTTTCCTCTCAACCATGGTGAAGGCTCATGTTGCCAAGTCCAAATTATAGCTGGTGGATGTGTGTTTTTATGTTGAAGTCTGTTTATGTTTCCTGCCAAATTTTCAGGTTTAAGCCAAAAGAATGTCTACTAAGTGTTGACTATAAGAATAATAAGATTTCCAGTGCTAGAAGGGACCTAAGAGATAATATAGTCCAGCCCTGCGCCAAGCATTTGCTTGAGGCCTTCTTGAGCACTTGCTAAATGACTTCACTCTCTCTCTTTACAAATGGGGAAATGGAGACCCAGGAAGGGTAGATTGTGTAGTTTCTGATTGAACTCTTAATAAATTTGAGAATTCTTGATGCCTAGATTTTCCCTTTATCTCACTGTACCAGACAGCTTGGGCACATGATTTTAAGGCTCTGAGGTTCAGGTGAAGAAGGGGTTTCGTGCTCTTGTTTGGAACACCCAGGTGGTGCTACAGTTTTTGCTTGACTTACTGAACCTTTGATGTTTACTGTAGACTTTACCTTTGCAAAAAGCAAATAAATAATTTAGTGTCAAGAATTCTTATTTTGAGAATTCTTATTTTTATAGGAAAAGATGACTCCTGGAAAGAAAATGAGATATTTTCTCTTCTATCAGGATCGGTTTGAACTCAGTAACTGTGAGGTTTGGAGTGGCCATTTAGCAGTCACTTCTTTCATTCACTGGTTCTTCATACATTTGCTGTAAATGGAATACCTTCTCTAACTTAGCCATGCATGCTGGGGATTATAGTCTTAGAACTTGGCATTGTGGATGTAGTGCCCTGAGTCTCGGTCTTGGGACTGTTAGCTTTCTGAGCTGATTCCACAGTTGGTAATTTCTTTCTATTTTAGCAGAAGCAGGCACCTGTTTAGCACTGTTTAGCATAGGTTCAAAGGGGGAGAATGCATTATAAACTTTCAGATTTGCAAGGAAATAAGAGGTTATAACTTAAGTCCCCTTTCTGTTGTTTGAACTTCCAATTTTTTTTCAATTTTGTAAACTATTTATGGGTGACTACTATAGGTAAGCCAATGTTGAAGGATGAGGTGGATCAGCTGCCAGCTCTGAATCAAGTTTGGAAGCTTCATCAAAGTATGTAGTATTTTTAGGACTACGAGATGCACTGGACCATAAGACGCACCTAGGTTTTAGAGGAGGAAAATAGGAAGCCAAAAATGTGGTAAAATATTTAATAACATAAATAACATAGGCCACCCCCACCAGTGAGCCAGGTAAGCTACATTCAGACTATAAGACGTACCCCCCATTTTCCTCCCAAATTTGGGGGGGGAGTGCTTCTTATAGTCTGAAACATATGGGTGTGTGTGTGTTTTCCTAAATTAAGGTGTTTCATGGTAAATTATGCCTAGTTATCATGCTTTAATCAGAAGCACACTCTAAGTCCTATATGGTGGTGGAGGGTCAGTGACATAAAAACTGACCAGAGAGAGGCAGCAAAGATTTTTAGAAACAGTTTCATTTGAACTGAACTTTGATGACTGGGTAGGACCTTAATTTTCAGATGGGTGCATGGATTTTTCAGCAGCGAAGTGGTAATGAGAACACAGAGGAAGAGGAGCACCATGGAAGTGTGGCACACCTGCATTTCTGGCCCTGGAATTTGCCCTTTATTCTGGAATCACGGACAATTTATTGCAGGTCTTCGTCACTACTGTAACTATAAGGAGGACATCCCCAGGTCTGTGCTGGCTGCCGAGTGGTGCTTTTAACGCACCATAAGACAAAACTGGTCGTGCCTGTGGGAAACCCCATGCAGACAGCTCTGATTGTCTGGTTGACTTCCTGGAGCTCCTCAGGGACTTACTTGCTGATACCTGATGGCTCTGAGTTCAGGTGCTCTGTATTTAACTTCCTCTTTTTATATCTTTGCTTGAGTTTTTTTCCCATGACCTCCAGTTGACAACTTTTAATTTTACCTCTCTCATTGTGACTCAGTCCTGTCGCTCGCTTTTACTTGCCTCCTATCCAGCGGTTTTACACTTTCAGTTTTCATGTCTCCTTTTCTCTTCATTTGGTCAGGATGGCCACATTTGCTACTCTGACTCCAATCTCTCCATCTCAGAAAACACACTGTTTTGTCCATTGTTCCTTACTCCAAATGTTAATGTTATTTTTTTCAACTAAAACTTGTCCCTTTATAATTTTCTTGCACAGATTTTCTTCCTGTCCTTTTAGAAAGTGATGCACATTCACAGGATCCATCAGTCCAGGAGTGAGGTATCATGTCTGCCCTCAGGAGTTGATCGATAAAGCTACTGAAAGAGGTGACTCTTCTCAGCAGAAAGTGAGAACAGTGTAATGTGCCCTGTGCACTGAACTTGGGGAATGCCCAGAGTTTGTTGAAAGAGAAAGAGAGAAAAGAAAATTCTGAAATCATTTATGGCCTTGTTTAAAGTCAGTCTCCAAAATCTGTAGGCCAACTGATTTCTATTCT